CCACCCTGGGCAGCCAGCACTCCCTGTTTCACCAGGTGAACCTGGACTGTGTGAAGCAAAGGGCTGTGTTACGTACATCCCTAACCTGTCAATGGAACAGGAATCTGCAGATGGATCATCTGCTTAAACATCTGATGTGTTAACAGATGTTCAACTCTTCTAATGGAACCTCCCACTGCATTATCACTACCATGGAGTATTTTGCTGATAAACTGCTAAAGCTGAAAAATGACTCTGAGAGAGAAGGAATGGAGGCCCAACTATTGCTTTTTTTTTTTAATTATATGATGCATTTAAATGTGTACCAACTATACATTCAATGTAAATGTGAAGACAAAATATAAAGTTACCCTCAAATCATAGATGCATAATCATTAAAGATCAGGCTAGGAAATACAGGTCAGAAATAAGTAGAGAGCCTACACACAGCCTGCCTTGAGGGGCCCAGGAATTAGTCTCACATCCTTTGGGTGTGTAAAAGAAGTATTTTCAAGTATAGTATTACTCAGAGAGTTACACACAACAAGTAAACTCTGCTCATCTCAGAACAGCCTATGTTCACAGAAACTTCAGCAAAGTAAATGACTCTCCCAGATTCATATTATAAAAGTGTATAGAAATTGGAACAAATCCTGAAAAATAAAAAAAAGCAAAAAACCAAAACCACAATTAAAACCCACCACCTACGTAAATACTCATAATTTAATAATAATTCAGACAATTTTTACACTAAGTCACATAGTTGCTGTTCTGTAAATCTCCCCACCCCTCTTTCATATTCATAAGGCTGGACTATTAATTAACTGTGGCATATGTGCATTTCCAAATAGCATCAAACAGACAAAACTCTGGCTTGAGCACCATTGCCTTGTGCAAACCATATGGTCCCTTAATACTTTGGGTCCTAAGCAGCAGCCGTTCCCCAGCCTCAAGCCAAAGGACAGCAAACTCACAACATCAAGACCATTAACTCAGCCAATAAAACTCTCAGAAATTAATTCCAGCCCTGTTCAGAGCAAAGCCCAGTTCTCTAGGGAGCTGACCCTGCTGATAGCTGAACCCTCCCCAGCCACAGCAGCCGAGTCAGCACACTGGGCTCCCGTTCACCATCGACCAGTGTGAGTATCACCTACCCCAAGGCGCAGGGAGAAAAGCAGGAGACAGCAAATTCAGAAGATGGACAATGACAAGGCTGCTGATGGGTACGCCCAGCCCAGCACTCCTTCTGCACAGGGAAGTGCTCATGGCCACAGGCTGTACCAACAAGTTTATTCTGGCTTTTCAATATTAAGGAATTACTGTCTCAGCAGCAGGGATCATCCAAAGTCACCAGTCTTTCTTTTAAAATGCATGAACAGCATTCATTTCACCTTCAGCACAAGAGCTACAGAGTCAACGAACACTCTGCCCCAAATTCATGGCAGAAGCCTCACAGAGACCTCTGTGCCCCCACCACATCACACCATAACAATCCACAGCCTACCAGCTCTCCAAGCCCCAGGCATGGCTCTCCTATCCCAGAAACACCAGGCACTGCTGCAAACCCAATCTCCCCAGCCCCTTGGGGCGTGCTCACCTGCCGTGCCTCTCTCTCTCCTGGCTGATTACCCTGCAGGGTTGTAATTGCCAAACCTCATCTCTGGAAAACAGAGATCCTCCCTAAGCTCCTTCTTCATCATCTTTTTATGGTGGAGAAAAGCTCTCCACTTATCTCTTTAGCACCCTGCGTTATCAGTATTCTGCCACACCTGCTGCCTGCTCAGGCCCTGGGCACCTGGGTCTGCTCACCAAACACCTCTGGCCCTATAAGGCCACCCCTGACTGATGCCACACTAGCATCTGGGGCTGCAGCATATGCAAAGGGAAACTAGTGTTGCCATCATTTCTGTGAGATGATCTTATATTTAGGCTACTATGGTAGGACAAAAGGTTGATTGAGCAGTAGGAAAAGTATTATGTAAAGATGGAGCTTTAAACAACCTAACAGAGATGCCAGCAATGCCTTGTGCAAAACCATAAGCTCAGTCCTGTGGAAATTCTGCTGTGAAGAGTGAGCAGGAGTTCTCAGCCCATGCAAACCGCAGGGGTGCATGCACCCAACAGCACTTTCCTTCGGTAATGACCAGTTTTACTTTTACTGTAGAGCCCAGGAACGTCCTAGTCATTTAAAACCACAGAAACAAGCACAAGTACAGGCTGTGCGGAGAATGAATTGAGAGCAGCCCTCAGGAAAAGGACTTGGGGGTACTGGTGGATGAGAAGCTCAACATCAGCCAGCAATGTGTGCTGATAGCCCAGAAACCCAACCGTGTACTGGGCTGCATCAAAAGCAGCGTGGCCAGCAGGTCGAGGGAGCGGATTCTGCCCCTTTGCTCTCGTGGGAGCCCACCCACAGTACTGCATTCAGCTCTGGAGTCTCCAACATAAGAAGGACATGGAGCTGCTGGAGCAGTTCCAGAGGAGGGCCACGAAGATGATCCAAGGGCTGGATCATCTCTGCTATGAAGACAGGCTGAGGGAGTTGAGGCTGTTCAGCCTGGAGAAGAGCAGGCTCCGGGGTGATCTTATTGCAGCTTTCCAGTACCTAAAGGGGGCCTACGAGAAAACTGGAGAGGGACTTTTTACAAGGGCGTGTAGTGACAGGACAAGGGGCAATGGATTTAAACTGTAAGAAGGCAGATTTCGATCAGATGTAAGGAAGAAATTTTTCAATCAGATGTAAAGAAGAAATTTTTCACTCAGAGGTTGGTGAGGCACCGAAACAGGTTGCCCAGAGAAGTTGTGGCTGCCCCATCCCTGGAAGTGTTCAAGGCCAGGCTGGATGAGGCTTTGGGCAACCTGGTGTAGTGGAGGGTGTCCCTGCCCATGGCAGGGGGGTTGGAACTAGATGATCTTTGAGGCCCCTTCCAACCCAAACCATTCTATGAGTCTATAAACAGTCTGGGATTAAATAAAGCAGTGAAACAGGGCTGGTTTCTTTCCAGGAGGCAGAAAGCCTTCAGATACTTGCTGTTCTTCTACGCTACAGGTAATAAACTTCAGCTGGGGAGAGAAACCTCCTAAGCTGTGGAGTTTCCTAGGAGACAGGATGCACTTTCTCACCTCCTTTCTATAGAGGTCTCTAGCACCAACTTGTACTACTCCATTTAATTTTTTAGTCCAGTAACTGAGGATACTTCTGCCATGGCAGAGATTTTATGCACAGCTCCCATCTTCATGAAACACTGGAAATGCTTTCCAGGCTGGAAGGTACACTTTAGCCAGAGACAGCAGTATGAACACTTGTGCTGTTATTGCTGCAGACAAGGAACATGCTACAAAAATTAGGCAGCATCATTCACAGTGACTAGCATTTATGCCCGTCAGCTTCTTTCTACCTGTGACAACTGATAAAATTCATAGACTGGCAGAGTCCCTACGTGGCACATGTCTACAAGCAGGTAGGTCTTTCAGGCAACGCTTTCAACTACTTACAGGAAGAATTTATTTCAGCTACTGGCGTATTATACTAATATTTTTGTCATTAAAGCTCTGTACTAGCAGTTGTCTAAAACCATACTAAATTCTTGTAAGTGATCCATCACCTTGCTAAGAACATAGTGCCTACCCAGAGGTGTGGCAAATGGGAGAGGACAGGACAGTCTCGATGGATACGAGTCGTTTTCTGCTCTGGCTAAGGAACATTCAAGTGTCTTCAAACCACTTTTGTGTACTCTAATCCTGTGATCATTTAGTCCTGCTCTGGTTTCTCACCTCAGGAGCTTTCTCAGCTCAGATAAAAGGAGTCGGCAGGCTGCCAACAGCCTATGCAGATTGACAACAGGAAGGCATCATGCAAACACCGATATACTCTTGCTATTTTCTCCATCCAGGCTTTCAGAAGCCAGCACAAGAGGTGGGAGGACATTACAGGAGACGATTGTTCAGGTTTTGAAAGATCCTCCTGTGCTGCCATACTGGCTGGCTAAGCCCCATTACTGTATCTTTGTTCTGCTCCTTTTCCAAAGTTACCCTGATGTGTAAGGGAGAATCTGACTCAGTCCCTTGCAGCTGCAGAGACAATGGGCTGGATCATGAGCAGAAGAAATATGCTTCTGGTCATCATCAAGTCTATAATCAACTGTGGAAACAGGCTTTTTGCTTCCAGGGGCATAGTTTCCATTATTGGTGCTATCTTTATTTTCCTACTGAAAATGCAGAATCAGAAGTCCACGTTCATAAAAATGACGGATCAGCATCATGAAAAATAAGGTGCCTGTACACTTTTTATGATGAAGTAAGTATTTGCTACTTTTTAAAATGCTTCTTTAGTCTCTAATCTCTACCTCCAAAAACCTCCATAGCTAAACTGAATAAGCACACAACAAATACTTTAAAACTTCAAAAGTTTATTGCCCAGAATAGCTCACATGGTGCAGTTAGGGTTTTTTGGTTTTCGTTACATGGAAAAAAAAAGCAAAACAGTAGAAAACATATATGGGTAATAGTAAAACAAAAGCCCAGCCTAATAATAGCCCTTTATATCCACCAAGTTACACTTAAGAAAATGCTAGCCAAACAGAGAAGTAGAACATCTGGAAGACAGAGCTTTTCATGTCTATAGTATAGATTCTAAACCAGTATTAAAGGCATTTTCTGTCCATATTGTTAGCATTTTTTTCTTCACAATAGCAACTTGAAAAAGGTCTATGTGGAAAAAAATTAACTACTTCAAGACTTTCAAACCTCAGTTACCAGCTTATGGATTGACAGTTACAGATAACTGGAGAAGGCACATGACGATACAGAGTCCAATTAAAATCCAAACACTAAACGGAAATGGGAAGTGAAACTCAAAATTCACAAATATGACTTTTTGCATCCCCTAATCCGTATTCCATAAATTTGCGTTCAAGCATTTTACAGCTTTTTCAGAAAAGAAGTTGAACACACCCAGAGAAGACTTAAGGATTTTGCTTTCGGTTGCTTTGTTGTTGTTAGAGGGTGTGGTTTTTTTTAGGAAAGGGGATATAGAATAATCTAAACAATATTAAAATGCAGACACATTCCCTCATTTGTTATTAGCGCCCAATAGACCCACTGCTGAAGGTCGAGTAAGAATAAGAATACGAAGAGCTTGCTGATGCATCAAAACTTCCCCTCCTAGACCCACTGCGTGAGCCTGAACGTGAGCCAGAGCGAGAGCCAGAGCGAGAGCCGGGTGCTGAGGAGACATTATAGGGACTGGATATGCCTTTAGATGAAACAGAGGCTGCTTCCAAGAGTTTAAGCCCGGTGATGTCTTCCACCATTGACCGATTCATGGCATCTTTGTAGGATATTTTCAGTTTGGTCTTGGGGCAGGTCAGAATTTTGGGATAGCTGTTCGTGTCTTGCAATTTCTGGGCAGCACGACCATCAATCAATCCATTCCTAATGGCTTCTTCAGTACTTATTCTTCCACGCACTTCTGGGTCCACGAGACCTCCAGTGAGGTACTGGAATTCAAGGAACCGCTGCCCAGCCTCGTAAGGCAACCACTTTTCCTTCACTGCCTCAGCTGCTGACATCCTCTTGCGTCCACCCTTTATGCCTTCAAACCCTATGAAGGCCTTCTGGGCTGGTTTGAGACGCGTGGCCATATCCTGATCAATGATGCCTTGACTGGAGGCTTCCTGAAGTGAAAGCCTCTGGCCTGTGGTAGGGCATATTATGCCCCCTGTGCAGGCCTGGGCTTCAAGCAACCGTTGCCCGGTGATGCTATCCACAATGCCTCGCTGTATCGCTTCTGAAATGGAGATTTTCTCCAAGTTTTCTGTGTCAAATATGGCTGCAATAGGACTACACTCTTCTGGGATCTCTGAGAAAGAACCGCTTCTGATCAGTGAAGAAGAACTCCTGACACTCAGTACTGTGGGAGACCGAGTCACCGACTCGTGCCGAAACACCTCATCGGTGCCGTTACGGCAGGAAATCATGTCTGCAAACTGCGTCAGGCTTAAACTGCCAGAACGGTACTGGTCAAAAAACTTCCTCTCAACCAGACCTTTATCGATAGCGTCTTGGATGTCATACTGGCTACCTGTTTTTCTGTCGACAAGGACTACTCTACTGCTACCATCTGATCCTGTAATAGTTATTTCTTCCCACTCACACTCCTGTTCAGCTAGTTCTGTATAGGTGTCGTAATCTATGAGGCCTTTGCTGTATGCCTCCTGCACGGACATTTCCCTGTTCGTTTCTGGATCTACAATGACAACCCGGCGCTTCCTAAGGGTGTTCTTCTGCGAGGTGTGCACCACTTTCTTCTTCTCTCTCAGGGGCAAAAGGCAGAGCCCTGTTGCGTCATCCTTTATGCATCTTTCTTTCAACTGCAAGTAGGTCAAGTTCTCCTCTGTGTTGGGATCAAAGAACCCTTTGGTGTCATCACTGGGATCACTAAGAATCTGGTTGAGCTCTTCGTTGAAGTAGCCACGCTTGTAGGCTGTCTCGACAGGCAAGCGGTAGCTCTCTTTGGGGTCAATGATTCCTCCAGTAGCAATCTGGGCCTCCAGCAAACGAATGCCATGGCCCCTCTCTATGAGCTCTTTGTTCATTGCCTGAAACAGAGAAATGATGTTTCCAGTTTCTGGGTCTTTGTACCCAGTGACGGCTCTTTCAGCAGAGAGAAGTTTCTCCTTAAATTCAATTCCAACAAGGCCTCTTTTGTAAGCTTCCTCAACGGGCAGCCTCACATTGCTGACAGGATCCACTATGAACCCTGTGGCTGCCTGGGCTTCTAGGAGCTCAAGGGCTGTCCCCGGTCTAACCAAACCTATTTTCATAGCCTGGTAAATGCCAAGTTTCTCTTTAGTGGTCTCATTGTAGATACCCGCAATGCAGCTAGAGCCTTGAAGGAAATCAATAATTCTCTCACTCACTTCTTCCACTGTAATTGCACCTCTTTCCAAGTCGTTCCTTGTTGATTCCTTAATAATTCCAGCCTCGAGCAGTGCATCTGCTGAGACGGGCTGCCTGATCCCTTGGAATGACATACTCCTCTTCTGCACCGGGAGGAGGAGAAGACCAGTATGTGATTCAATCCTACATTTTTCCTTCAGCTGCATGTAAGTAACTGCCTTTTTGGTGGTGGGATCAATGAAGTTCTTCGTAGTGCCTTGGCAGTTGTTTAGGATCCTGTACAGGTCTTTGTCAATCAAGCCACGAGATAAAGCTATATCTTTGGGTAGGAAAACACTGTTGACAGGATCAACAATCCCTCCTACAGCCAGCTGGGCCTCAAGCAGACGAATCCCAGTTTCTCTCTCAACCAAGTTTTTCTTGATGGCTTCAGATACTGGCACAGTTTTGCCCGAGAAGGGATCTTTAAATCCTGTAATCGCCTTTTCTGCTGTATAGATTTGTTCTCTGTCATCAAAGTCGATCAGATCCCTGGCGATAGCACTGTCCACGGTTAACACCTCATTTCGGTGTGGGTCTATCACGCCTCCTGTTGCTGCCTGGGCTTCTAAGAGCAGGACTGCGTTTTCTGCTGTAAGCAGCTGATTCCGTTTGGCCTCAACAAAAGAGTACTTCTGCCTGGGCGAAAGGGACACCCCTGCAATAGCGCCTGCCCCTTTGAGGTAGGGTTCAATGTCAGCCGCGACTTCTTCCACTGACCTCTGCCCCTTCAGCAGTTTATCCAGTGTGAGTTTGTCTATCAGCTGACACTCATACAGCTGCATTGCTGTAATCTTCTTCCGCAGCCCACTGAACAGCAACTTGGAGGCATCAATACAAAAGTCTTCCTCAGTCTGCGTAGATCTGTGGGACCCATATGGGCGTTGCTTGAGCTTCTCAATCTCTCTTTGCAGCCTGAGACGCTCAGACTCTAACTCTGACTGGTTTTTGACAGCGGTCTCTTCCAGTCTGCACCGGTATCTCTCTTCGATCCGTTTGATCTCCATCTGCAGCCTTTCAATCTCACTCCTCAGGGCGTTCTTCTCCCTCTCACTCTTCTCTCTCTCACACTGGATCTTCCTTATGGATTCCTCCGTCCGAGAGTGCTGGCTCTTCCACTGATTAAGGTCATTCAGGATCTGTTGCTTCTCGCTTTCCAGGCGTTGCTTCAAACGAGACTCTGATTCCAGGGTAACTTTCAAACGGTTCAGTTCCTCTTCCAATCTCTGCAGCCTGGCTTTATCTTGCTCCAGAGCACTCATTTTTATCAGCAAGGTTTCTCTTTCTTGCATAATGTGACTGTACTGATTTTTGGACTCTTGAATCCTATTGGATGCCTACAGTTTTAAAGAAGAAATAAACCAAAAGAGGACAGTTAGATTTTATGCTGGTTAGAGTTATGCTCTTCACTTACAATGCTCTTCAGCCTGTCATTTTACCTGCAGCAAGCTGCCACTGGAAAACATTCTAGTCGCAGCAGTGCCTTACCCAAGACCAGAGATACACATAAACCAGTGAGGGTACATTGTCCCTTCACTGACAGTGTCTCTAGTACTGCTGGAAACTCCATTCTGTTACCTATAGCCTTGATCTTCTGCTGGTTTAGTTAGCTCTTTGTAACTTTTTAATACTTCTCATAGTGCACCTACATGTACACAGAGCATTCAACACTCATGAAGAGTCTCATGCTCAGCAGATGCACTCTGACACAGCCCTACTAACCTGACTGAATTTATATTGCTAAGGACTGGTCATATATGGACAAAAAGAAAATACATGACTCAATTTTCACTTTCCTCTTAGTTCCTCATGTTACTCCAAACAATTTTACCTGTGTTGCTTTACATTTTAATTCACTTAATGTCTTCATATATGTATACAGAAACACAAACACCTACAAGCATGCACGTTTGTATGCAGTCTATACTAAACAGAATACAAATTTAGATATTTGTAATACATGCATATATATATATGCACAGATGTCAGATAATCTTAAATGTTAGTATTTTTTAAAAATCAGTATTAAGATTTTCTAAATAAAGGAAAGGAAAACTGAACAAAGGAGAGAATAGCTAAGAATAGGAATGAGAAAAGAAATATAAAGGGCAAGTATAGGAAAAAGCAAAGAAACATTTTCACAAGTGCTTACTTACATATATTTAAATAGTAGCTTTTTGGACAAGAAACCAGGAAGAATGAAATATGAAAAAATGTTTTCAGTTGTTTATGCTGCCACCTCAAGGTTAAGAAATAAGGGCCAACAGTAAAATTTGCGAATGCCCTTAGTGACTTCAGAACATAAATCCCCAAAACAATCAATGAAAGGTAGGCTTTAAGTACCTTAGGTACAGCTGACAACACGATCTTTAATCCTCACCTGTAGTCAACACCTTACCCAGTTTTGATGGCTTGTTGGTTCTGGGTTTTTTAGCTGGTTTAGTTTGTGATAGGACTCAGGTCAGCCTCAAGAGACTGCTTTAACCCATCCCGGGTGAAACAGCCTGGGGAAGCACACAGCAAGCAGGGTACAGCAAAAGCACAGTGGTACTCCACGCGCTCTCACCTTCCCCTAGGACGGTTTGGTGGAGACTGGCACAGATCCAGGGTTTCTCCTGGGGCAAGGGCTGAGGGCAGGGCTCAGCTAGACAGTAAGACAGCTCATGACTCCCTAGCACAGCTCCCAGGAAGTAAAGAGGCTAAGAAAGTGGCCAAATCCTGCCATTTTTTTTTCAAAAATGAACAAGGGGAAGGACCATAAAGGGAATATTAGTCACAAGTACAGTGAACTTAAAACAGCAAAGCGTGAATTAAGTTGATTTAAATGGACACTGCAATTAATTACATATCTGAGAGACAGTAAAGCTGGGATCAAAATATGTGTGAATACCTCTATAGCTTGCTTTTGGAATTTTTCAATTTCCTGTCTCAATTTTTCCCTTTCTTTCTGTAAATCATTAATCAACCCCTGAAGTTCCAGGGTTTGCTTGCTGCTCGTCTGAAGCTGATTCTTTAGTTCAGCAATGGCAGTATTTTTCTCATCAACTTCACTTCTGACCATTCTGAGGTCATCGTACTCCAATCTAGCATTTCGCAGCTCTTCCTCCAGTAACAAGTGTTCCTTGGTTAGGTTCTCGGTGAGAGACTGAAGCCTTTCGATTTCTATTTTGCACTCATTCAAGTTTTTGCTTTTTTCCTCAGAGCTTTTCTGTAAGTGCTCGTATCGCAGGTGAGCCTGTTTTAATTGCTCCTGTTCTTGGACCAACTGACGGCGTAAAGTCTCAATATCAGATGTGTATTTTCTTATCTCCTCCATGTATCTCTGCTTCTCTCTCACATGACCATCTAATACTTCTCTTTGGTGCCTAAGGTCATCTTCATTCCTCTTCTTTACAATAGACACTTCCTCTATCTGCTGTGTGAGATTAGTTATTTTAACCGATTGCTCTCTCAGAGATCTCCTCATGCCTTCTATTTCCTCCTCCAGTTTCTTCCTCCTGGACGCCTCCTCCATTACATTTTTATTCTGCCTGCAAAGCTCCTCCTCCAGCTTATGTTTCTGGATCTGCAAGTCTTTTACAGTGCTCTGGAACTTGGCACTTTCTTGATCCCTGCCCTTTTTCTCTTGTGAAACTCTTTCAAAGTCAATTTTCAGTCTGGCCAGTTCCTGCTCTTGGATCCTCAGCTTGTTAATTGTCTCAGTAGCACTCGTGTTTGCTTTCTGCAGGTCGAACTGGACTCTTTTTAACTGACTGTTCTCATCCTCTAGCTCTTTTCTCTGACTTGTTTCTACATCCAACATCTTTCTCAGCCTTTCGATCTCTTTGTTTCTTTCCTTAATGGTCTTAGAAGCATCATCGAGTGACTGTTTGTACCGCATGCTTTCATCAGAGTGCCTCTGAATAACTTGCTTTAGCTCGATCTCCAGCTGCTGTTTCTTCTGCGAAAGCTCTGAGCCAGCTGCCTTCTGCTGCTGAGCATTCTCTTCTATTTTCCGTAGATTATCTGTTGTCTGACTTATTGTATTCTTCAGTCTCCTAATTTCCTCACACAAATTCCTATTTTCTCTCATGGCATTATCAAGCTGCGTTCTATAATTATTTGTGTCCTCTTCCTTTTGCATGGTGACCTGGTGAATTGTGGTCTTTGTGATATTAATCTCAGTTTCATATTTGTTCTTTAAACTAATAATTTCCTCATCATAACTGTTCCTTACCTTAGCCAATTCATTTTCAAGTTCCCATCGGCTTTTAGCCTCTTCCTGAAGCTGAATCTTTAGCCTTTCCAGCTCCTTAGTTTTATCCTGAATAGTTGAGGCAGCCTCCTCAAGAGCCTGCTTGTATCTTGAGTTGTCTTCACCACGAAGCTGAATGATTTGTTTCAGCTCCAGCTCTAACTGATGCTTCTGCTGTGACACCTCAGAACTGCAAGCCTTCTGCTGAAGAGCATCTTCTTCTGCCCTCCTCCGTTGATCTGTGGTTTGCAGAATGGCATCGTTCAGCCTCACAATCTCATCCTTCAGGTCTCTGTTTTCTCTCGTCAGTCTGTCAACCTGGGCTCTGAGGCCTTTGGCATCATCGTCTTTCTGTGCAGCTATCTGCTGGATTGTGGTCTTCTTAATATTAATTTCTGTTTCATACTTGTTCTTTAAATTACTCATCTCCTCGCTAAACTGGTTTCTTACCTTAGCCAGCTCATTTTCAAATTCCCTCTTCCGTGTGCCTTCGTCCTGAAGAAGAACCCTCAATCTTTCTATCTCGTACTCCTTCTCCTTGATGACCTTCTCAGACTCTAACTTTTGCCAACCAAGGCTGTCTTTCTCGTTTTGTCTTGTTTTCTGCAGCTGGTCATAGTCATTCTTCTGCTGCTCATATCTATCCTCCAGCAACTTCCTTTTCCTTTTCTCATCTTCAGTCTCATAAGTCAGCCTGGTTATTCTGTCATTTAGATCCTTTATTTGGGCATAGCATTTGTCCAGGTTTTGCTTAGCAGAATTTCCATCCATTTCAGCTTGTCTTTTCATCTCTTCCAAACTCATCAGCTTTGCCTTGAGCTGAGAAATGTCCATCTGGTACTTCTGCAGATTTTGCTCCAGGAATTTATGTTTGTTGCTTGTCTCTGAATTTGAATCCCTGGCAAGCCTGAGCTCCTCTTCCAGAAGTTCAATTTTGGTGTTTTTCATCTGCAAAATTACAGCAGAAAAAAAAAAAGAAAAAAAATCCGCATAAGCGTTTGTTACAACTGTTTCAAAATCATCACATGCAATACAGTACATATTTGTAACACTTAAAAGCATTTTTCTTCTCTGCTACAATGAGAGCTCGAAATCCTTTTTTATTTAATGTCATCAAGACAAATTCTGGAATCTGTACTTATTCAGAGTCAAACCTTATTCAGAAATCAGCACAATGACTTTCAGGGGAGAAATAGTACTTGATGGGGAGAGGGTGATGCAATATAGGTAGTAAAATCTGATGTACCAAGAGTTCACCAGCAAAGCCTTCCTTAGAACCACCACGATTTTCAAACAGGCGATTCACATTCCATTTTGTGACCTCTTAAATGGGCCTCTCTGTTTCCACTGAGCTGTATCAAATCAGGAGTTACTCCATTTGAAACACGTTTGATATGGCCTGAAATGAAGTGTGGCACTTTAAACTGTGAGGAGCAAGTTTTCAGCACTGAGATAACTGCACTCTCACTGAGGTCCAGGCTGTGATGGGCAGAGAAGGACCTCTTGTGTGCTGTCTTGAGCACCTCCTATTTACCAAGGTGGCTAGTGTTCTCCACCTCACACATGACCTTGGAGGCAACTTTGCAAGATGCTGTACTCTTTGACAAAAGATGCATGAAACTGCTTATATGCCTCCTTCACGGGACACCACAAAGCTCAAGATTTAGTTTCGTGGACTGTTTTGCACTGCACTTAGGCAGAAAGTCTTTAACCAGAGATAGCTTGTTAACCTGTGATAAAAATAAAAGCTAAAGAAAATGAAAGAGTCGGGTTACCTTCAAGTCCTCCATGCTCTTTAACATTTCACTTAAGAATCTGTAATAATCTCCTGATCTTGTAAGAAGCTCTATGTAGCGAGACTGAGCCTCGCTAGCCTTGAAAAGAAAGAGAATCGTTAGCAGCTTGTACTACAGAGTTAGAGATGAACATACCCATGTCTCAGATCACTTAAAGGATTCCAATCCACTAGAGAAAATGTAAAAAAGTAAAATTTTCTCCTCGAAAATTCACATGACTTTCTGGGGACCCCAAATGTATAAATTCTCCCTTCTGATAAACCCACACCTGCTTTTTCAAGATCATTTTCCCCCACGGCTGACGTGATATTAAAAACAAGGCTTCATTCCCTGGATCATCACGCTCTTCCTGTCTGACAGTCACAAGTAACCTAAGTTAAACTTTTAATAGTGGTTAATTCCCAGGTTGAAAGTGACTAAACCACTTGGGGCATGAATCTTACTTTCTCACAATATGTATGCAGTGGATATTGAATAGGAATGAGGTACATTCCTGAGGGCTAATCTACTGTCTAAACGAGCCCAAGGATGATTTTACAGCACAGTGACTATTCCGCACTAATTCCTTGTGCTTATGCGCTTAGCACACATTACCAGTGACAGTGCTAATTGTTAGAATACAGCTGGGTATGAGTCACAATGGTTCACAAGGACGAACAAACGTGTTCAAAAGACTGATAGGGAGGAAAGAAAGATACCTCTTGTAGAATCAGCACTGCCGGAGACTGAACCACGCTCTTCTTGATAGGTATGTTGAGCAATGTTTCTAATCCGGAACTGTAGGAAGCAACCTGTAGTTCATAATCCTGTAAAACAACAGGGAAAGGTAAGACCCATTTAGTGACTGCCAAGGAATCCTCAGGGAATCTGGACTTCCCAAAATGCAAATAAAGTTTTGGGGTTGTTTCGGTTTTGGTTTTTTAATAAAAAGCTATGTTTTCCCTTGTTTATATCTCTGGCCATGCCTCTCACAAACAGAAGCTCATCAATTCAAGTACCACTACGGAGATTCATGGAGGAAAAATGACAAAGGGAAAACAAAAAAGGGAAGAAACGTGTTTCCGTCAGTTGAGGGCTACCCAGAAGTGAAAAAGATTCATGGGAGTAACTGGTCTAGGTACTGTTATCAACCAAAACTTCATCAGAACTAACTGTCTCTGCATCTCTTTCAAATCACATTTGCCGTGTCACATACATAGCAAGATCTTTGTCACAGAAAGTCAGACTGAGCTGGAGAAAGCACGGATATAAAGGTGACATAAAAATGCAAAGACCACAAAATGATTCCCTGTGTATCTCCTTGGTTTTCATGGCTATTGCACACCATTCCTCCTGCTAATCTGCATTTGTCTTGCCTCCTAGACTAGATCCTAATCAGACCTAATCTACCAATCTGTTCTCTATTCCCTTATTTTTTTAATATGTGAACTGGAAAGTTTGGTCTGGCTAGAAGGAGGCTTTGATTCTCCTGAAGAGAAACTCCCACTGGAATCTCCTGCATCATCCCATGGTCTTCAGGTGGAAAGTACACAAATTGCTTTCATTGTATTTTGTACACACAAGTGCTTCACCCCAGCAATTTCTGCACACACACATCAGGGAGCTGACATTTCACCTGCCAGCAAAGCAAAGACAATGGGATGCGCCTGACCATGAAAAACCACACCCCATAAAAACGGTGAAATCAAAGTACCTTAATTGCAGCCGAGCACTGATCTGCATGTTTGAGAAGCTCCTCAACTTTGTCTCGCTTCCCACAGATTTCACTGTGCAAGTTCTGTCAAGAAAAAAAGTGAGCTGTGAAGCACTCCCCTTCAAGTATTCCCTCCTGCACAGGCACCTGCAGCACGACACCACTGCAACCCCAGAGGCTGAGACCTGAAATGACCTCCAGCTCTGCAGTTTTTACAATGGCAAGCCCTCTGTGCATGAAAAGATTGTTCTCAGAAAGAACACCTAGCAACTGAACAACCCTCAGAGCTGGGAAGGGAGAGTTTTGTGACTTTAGCTTAGATGTATCTCCTCACTTTTTATTTTTGGGATATAATTTGTCCCATAAGTTGCACTATCATACAGTCCCTTGAATTAATTCAAGGCTGATGTGTAAAAGTGTCAGTGGGCGTGTAGGAGCCAAAAATGGGTTTGTTCATAATCTGTAGCAGGGCTGACAGAAAGTGATGAGGGTAATAATATTTCCTCTCTCCTGCTTTCTACACATGTGGTGTTTTTTGGTAGCCTGCGTACTTTATAACTCAAAACAGGCCACTGTACTGCAGACTGCATTGATACTGATATTTTCTGAACAGGAAAACAATTTAAAATCCAGATAATTGAAGCCAACTCGTTCAGGTGCTGCATACCTTCTGATCATGTAGATATCTCATGATAGCGTTGCAATCACACAGCTTCATGGACTCAATAGCATCCTGCCTGCGCTTGGCATCACAGATCCATTTGCACAGGGCCTGGTAGAGATCTCGGTAAGTTTTCAGCTGTTTGATCTGTCTCTCTAAATCCCACGATCTAGGAAAAAAAAAACAGGGAAAACTGTCAAATTGGAAAGTGCATCCTCTTTATTTCTCTTTAAACATTTTTCAGAAATAAGACACAGTAATAAACTACATAAAACTATGAGAAGCTCTAAAAGAAGATTCTGAACCAAAATTTCAAATAAATGGGAATTGTACTGGTTGCTAATCACCTAGCATGGATTTTTAGTGCCTCACTTTTGAGTAACTCTGCAATACAGAGGCTGGCACTTCCTGTCAACTAAGAGAAGGATGGATAAAACCTTGTAGTGATAAGAATGAAGTTCACTGACTTCAGTACTCTTGTTCTCAATTTTCACCAAAACCACCACCAACCAGTCAGTTTTTATTAATAAGACTAGATTTTGGCCCAAAATAAAAAAAAAAAATAACAAAACAAAACAAACCACACCCCCCAAAAAAAACACAATCAGAATATGCCTTCAGTTCAATAAAGGAATAGAAAAAAATTGTTCAGATTTTTTCACTTAGTTCTTACTGTTAATTTTTTAACCCTCAGGTATAGGGTATTCAGGAATAAGCACAGTTGCTTTGTTTGAGGGGGAAAATGTTGACTGGAAGTACTTAATCCTAGCACATTAGTAAGAATAAAAATAAAAATATTAGAACAACTCCTTAGCACATAGGTTATACATTAACATGACTAACTATATTTTCCAGCTTGGTCTTACACAATCCCTTTTGAATTATGTTCAACCTATTCACAGTTTCTCTAGTCTTATTGCCCTGAAGTCATCATTTGTCCTCTGGACATGATGATTAGTGCACATCAGTTCTTTTAGACTCACTGTTAAGATGATCTTAGTAGCAATAGCAATAAAGAAGAAGCTATGAGGAAATATGAGCAAACCTGTTATCTATCTGCTTATCAGCTCTCTGCCAGCGGTCTATTAGCTGGGTAACTTTGTCACAGAACTTTCCAATGTCCATGTCATACAGGGTATATGACTGGCAAGACTGTGAATGAATCTGAAGTGTTTTCTGCAGCTCATTTTCCAGGGCACTCAGTAGTGACTTCTTCATATTTAGGTCTGCTTTCATTTTCTGGAGAAAAAAAAAAAATGCTGTAATACATTTTATTCTTGAGAGGATACTCAGATTTAACCATCAACGGCACGCACAATACATTGGGATCTACAGATTTTGTTTCTAATTCAGTGAGGTATGTACACTGATGTCAGCTGGACTTAATAAATTTAAAGTGAAACAACTATTTTGGTAAACAGAGTTTGACTTAAGAATGTGTTTAAAGTTACTCACTCTTAAATAATCTGCTAAATCAAAGCCCTCTGCTGTCATATTCTGTAGCTAACATTTCAGTTTCTCAGAACTACGTAGAGCAGTTACCAGAAATTAAAAAAAGGTAAGAGCCTGCCTTGCTTGTTCCAAGAAACAACTGACTAGAAGATTTCACTGAAGTATGAAAGATTTCTGCACTTGCAACAGCTGTGGAATCAAGCCTCAGGATTGGCATATCCAGTTGTTAAATGTTATCCAAAAATCTGCACAGATTTTTTTTTTCCTGTTTACGTTTTTATAAACATATTCCATGGGGATGTTTCCTTGTGCACACGCTTGTCTGGGTACACATACTCACATACTGTGGGGTATCACCCAATGGCATATACAGTGCAGGCAGTGGCCTGCCTTGCAGCCCCCAGTCACAGGGATGGCTGCATCCTTCGATAATATATTCAAACATTTATTTATTTCTTGTGTAGCTCAAATTTACACCAGCTAAGAACAACTCCCAGCAACTGAACTGCAGCTCTCATTTAACATAATAAAGAGGTAACCTGGTCGTGCTCCATTTGTGTCGCCCACACTTTTTCCCTACTACACCTCAGAACAGGAAAGAATGAAGAGTCTCTATTCTCCCAAAGGCATTCAGTGCACAAAAGAACCAGCTCAAGGCCAGATAAAGACTGGTTCTGCAAGCCTCCTTTGTGCTCAGTAAAGCAGTTATTCTTTGCCTTCTCCCCTTGTACAGGATGGATAGTCCTCACTGTAAGATTTGAAATGGACTACATGGCAAAACCAGGACACACAGTAATACTCAGATTTACTTGTTACAACTAGATGACAACAAGGGCAATTAACAAGACTTTTTGCAAGAAAGAAGATATTGCCTTCAAATCTAGCTTCATAAGAGGTAAAAATAAACAAATAATTTTATACAGAAATGGATCATGGAGACCTTCCATGCCACTGGCTTTGCCATGACAGCAGCAACAACCAGGGGACGGAAGAAGTAGTAACCCGTACGTTCCTTCCAATGTTTTCCAAAAGCACTGTATGTCTACATCATAAGATACGACAGGATCAGCATTTCCACCTCCTGTGGTTTCAGAAGGGTTTCACCAGCTCTAGCAGCTACGAATTTTGCCTTGCTGTGTCCTTGGGTCTTGGCCTCTCACCTTCAGACAAGCCCGATAAGCCTCCACTTTATCAAGATCCAAAGGAACAGTCTCCTCTTCAGACAGTCTGACTTCAAAAACTCTGATCACATCTTCTGTTTGTAGAATAATCTGTAGCAGACACCTCAGTGCATTCAAGCTAAAATAAATAATACAAGACAAATACGTCACAGACTGGTGCAGGAAAGGTGATATTGCTAATTAATTGCAGATCATTAGTTAAAGAGAATAGACAATACAGAAGAAATTTTAGTGATATCCATGATTCTCACTTTTTAAATTTTTTTTAAAGTCTTCTAGAAAAGAGAAGAAATTCACATAAGTATCTGCCTCTACCCACATGCAGCGTTTGTAGGAAAGAAGGTGTAATTTCGTACTACTGATAACAAAAGGCAGGTTTCCGGACTAAGAATTATGGAAGAAAGTGAACGATTTATTGCTACAACCTCAATTTTCTTACCTGTCCAAGTAGCCAGCGGAAACACCATTAATATTTTCCAGTTTTTGAAACAGGGCATTTATTTCCGACTGCAAGTACACATACTTCTCGCAGCCTCTGAAGTTAGGCAGCAAGTCCTTATGCTTATTGAGGGTTTCAGCCATTATTTGAGAGTCATTCTGCACACCCTAAGGAAAGAGAATGCCTGATTTACACATTTCTGGTGGCTGAACGATCATTCTACAGCACATACACGATTGGTCTCCTCATCCAAATAAGTCTGCTGTTACTTAACCAGCTTGACTGAGGACTGGCACAGTGCCTGAGCTTGCTTTCTTCAAGGTAGGTGACACTGGGCAGTTTCTTTTTCGCATGGTCCACAACAGGCAGTTCCTCTTTTTGAGCACATCATCCTCTCTGAAACTCATCTCTGTTGAAAGCAGAGATTGCTTTTATGCCAGCTGCCTACTGCACTCAGGACACGTGACAAGGTCCTTCTGCTCTTAAAACCTCTGCGACCTCATGGCCTCAGGGGAATTTCTCATACGCTGAACCTGTTCTCTTTTCTTACTAGATCTTGTCTCTCCAGTCTACTTCAAATCTTAAGAACTGGGAGAGGGAGAGAGTTTGTAAGTCTCACGTATCCACTGTGCCTCCACTTCAGAGATACGTGGCAAAGTGGGGTCCATGCAAAAGGATTTTAATAGTGCCTTAACCTGGATGAGGCTTAACATGTGTTCTGACTGCTTTAAAAGATAAATTGGTGTTTGTCTTCCCTTTCCTGTCTCTGCATCTCTATTCCTGCACACATACACAAATGACCTCTGGTTTATGAGAAAAGTGATTATACTTAATAATTCCCAGTATTGGTATGTGTTGTCAGTAACCAGAACCCAAAGGTGATGTTTTTCTATGAGCTCATGTCCACTTGACATCAGACTTTCTGTATTCTGACAGGAATTGACTTCTAAAATTCAAGAGTCAACAACTTCTACTTAGGAGCTAAACTCCAATTCAGATCATCGTGGTTAGTCTCCAATTGAGAATTTTCTGCACAGGATGTGTGTCTTTCCCAGCAGATCAGAAATACAACTGCAATATGCTGTAAAGCACAGAGTCATACTGAGCTTGAGATGCTCAAAGGAAAACAGACACAGTTACCTCTAAATCCTTTATTCTGACCGAAAAGTCATGCATAGCCCCTTGATCCACTCCAAGAGGAGCTCTCTGAACCATCTGAATCTCAGAAGCTTCAATCTGACGCCGAAGTTTCTGAAGCTCCATCAGCAGCCAGGCCTCCTGCTTATCGTATTCTCGGTTTCTCTCATTAACGATAACGGTGTTAGAGGAACCAGTAGGACAGGTCTCAGTTGGGACCACTGTAAAATGAATTGGGTAAATGTCAAATGCCAGAGAACTGACCACCTACCTACAGAAAGCCAAGGTAGCGCCCAAGTGACCTAAGCACTGAGTTGATTTGTAGAGCTGAGAACAGGTAGAAGATCTGAGCCCTTATGCAGCTGTTTCAAGGAATGAAATCTCTCCTTCACAAAAGACAAACTTGCTTCCTCAAACGCAGCAGTGAGATTTTGTTTCCCAGTAACTGAAAACATATCGGATGGACTAAATTCCTCTCATTTTCCCAGCAAGTCCCATGAACTTCAGAGGACTATTCCCAGATTCACACCAAAGGAAGGAAGAACAAAACATACTCTTCCCTGTGCATGGCCAGTTTTGTTATGTTGGGAGACAGCAGTACAATTCTTGAAACATGTTTCCATTCATACGTTTATGAGAACATTTTCACATTAAAAAATGAACCACCACCCCCGAAACCCAAGCAGTCCAATCTCTACAAAAAAAAAACAGAGGACGACAAACCTATTTGCGGCTGCCGTGGTTGATTGGGCAGTTGTATAATCAAGGTTTGGTAGTGCTTCTGAGCATCGGTGAACTGAGTCTGGATCTTCCGTTTGTCTTCATCGCCAAACATCTCTGAGCCTTGGCTGTTCCTGAGGAATTCTTGGTAATGGATTTCCAGATCAGTTATTATTTTCTGGTAATCTTCCTTACGCATTGTTTTCAGCTGAAATGACAAGAGGAGAATTTTGGAAAAAGAAGCGATTGGGGAAAGTTTATGACTAGTTAATCATTAAGGAACAAACTAATACACCTACATAAAAAAAAAAAAATCAAAGGCATTGCATTTTAGAACAAAACCTATCCAGGCTGCCTCTAAAAGCATGGTGCTAAAAGTGCCCTTTGAGCTAATCTATTCTTGTTATAATCATTTCATAACTTAAGAACAGTTTGAAATTCTTCCTCTTATTCTGTCTATCCATGCCCTTGCACAGTGGGAACAAGTACAGCAAGTATTTAATAAATCCCCTTAGTTAATCTTCCTGTTTATCCGTATCATGTCTGAATACGAAAGCATTTTGCTTCTCCTTTAATAAAACAACTTCTGTATATAACTATTTGTGCAACCCAGCAAAAGGAAGGCCCATGGTTTTGCAGACATACATCTGCACAGGACACAGCAAGCACTGTTTGGGACAGCAGAGGTCAGGTCATGGAAACCCCTGGTCTACAGGCAAGGCCAGCTGGAGTCTTACCTTGGCAATAGTCATCGCTCTGATTTTCTCAATGTCGATCATGCAATAATGCCAAGATACCAGGCTCTTCATGTTGATATACAGCTGATTCCACAAAGCTAAAATAGCTTCATAGTACTGCTCAATTCTGAGATAAGAAAAGAAATTGCATGGTCAAAATGTATCTGTCCTTGCAGCATAGCTACGAAACATGCCCAGAAACATCCACTAGATGTGGAGCGTGTTAAGGCTTGTTCTCTACTTGAAAACATCTTGGAAATCAATTTATCCATGACTTTCATTATTAGAGATGAGAAAAATTTTGTAAAAGTTAAGTTTTAAATACTTTTAGATCCCAACCTAGATGCCAGAAGGCTTCACTGAAGTGAATTTCCTCAAGTCAAGGGTCTAGTCCTTAATCAACCACCTTTATACGATGGAGAGGGCACTCTGATCAAGGCACAGATCAGATTTTGAGCCTGGTTGCTATTTTGAGCAATCTTCTATCTACTCCCAGTGGTAGGTGTCCAAACCCAAGTAGCAACTCACTTGGTAGCAAGATCCACTGCTAACGGGTTGGGGGGTGGTATGATAAGACTAACAGATGGCACCAGCATGTCTACTCCTCCAGGACCAGTCACCAGCCACTTGCTGCGCTCGTTATTGTCCTTTAGGATACATTCATCTCCTTTGCGCACCGTTTTCTGTAAGGAGTGCAGAACAACATTTTTTCTTTAGTTAAGTAAGACGAGGTTTCTAGGAGAGACAGATAAGAAAGATGCATCCAGATCACAGAAGTGGGAGTTCTTCCCAGCTGCCAGGTCTGGGTGTGCATCTTGGCTTCATACTGGGGCAACAGATCAGTACAGATCAACCCCTTCTCCCTGAATCTGTTTCCATGTGAAGAAAACACAAGAAAACCAACTGGGAGCCAAGGAATGCTCTGAGCAGTTTCCAGTCCAGCTAATCATCAGACTTGGGGCTTACCATGACAAACATCAAAGACTGAATGTGGACACATGGCCACAGCAAGCTATGCAACCACGTATGGCTGTAAACTGGGGAGCTGGAGGCACAAGGATGCTTAGTGCTGCGTCTACATTTGCGAAGGGACTGGGAGCGAGTGTGGCAGAGGCAGACCCACCAGCCCCAACTGCCAGATATCCTGACACCGTGCAGCCATGGGTGCAGCCACAGTGCAGGTTACAACCCACTTGCATCCCAGAGGGGGAGGCTCCTCCTATCATTTATCCTCTTATTTATGACAGATTTTACCTGCATCAGACTCTACAGCCAGCAAATACAATTTTTGACATAAATAGTAAAAGGCCACAGGTTTTTGCATCGATCTGAGCACGCAGGGGGTCTGGACTTGTCTGGGCTTACCTCCATCTGAGCAGAATTTAGTTTGCAATTGCCAAACAGTCAGGTAATCATTGCCTAAATTTGTTTAGTTTTGCTTACAATAACAAGTAGTTACTCTGTGTGGGCTGAACGTGTGACTCTGGAATAAAATGTGGTACGGAAGAGCACAGACACAGAGTGGATAACAGAAACCCCAGATTGTAAACACAAATCACAGTGGTCAATTACTGGTCACTACAAGAATGCAAGCTAGTGAATCAGGTAAAACAAGTTTTACAGATAACAGAACAGAGAAATCAGGTAATTGGGAAACAGTGAAGAGAAAGAGCATGTAAACAGAAAATGCATCTAAGCCTACTGTTAGAAAAAATATAGAAATAAATCCAAGTAGCCACAGTACTGAGGAGGAAGAAAAGCCACGACCATCAATTTCATGCTCCATCAGCAAAAAAAAGGGATGCCAATGACTTACTGCACATTTCTCACCTTTTGCTAGATGAAATGTCGACCTAAAGACCCAAAGGGACACTGGAAAGGTGAGCAATTGCCAAAAAAATAGGCATAGACGCTGAGAGCCATCTGTATAACAATTTTAACCCTATTATCAAACATATTTTTCTGTGCTAATTTGAACTATGACTATGAATGCTATTTAATGGACTAATAATAGTTTTGAATACTTATTAACCAACCAGAACCTAGCTTGTTTATTCATAATTGCAAGAAAGTCAAAGGCTTTTTGTCAAAGAAATTTAAATGCTGACCGAAAGCAGACAAAGGGGTTACACCTATCAGCTCAACGGTTTGTTCACTAAATCATTTGCCATGTTCTAGTTTACATGATGTTCATTCTCAGCCAAAAAGGGATACAATACCAGATCCTGTTTGTAGTCACACAGAGCCTTGAGGATAATAGGCTTGTTACTCCGGTAGTCTGGGTTACGTGGCTTCAGCTGCACAATCTTCTTGGATTTATTCACCAAACTCTGCACTTGCCTCTTGTATTCAAGAATTCTCTCTCGTTCATTCTGCAAAGATTAATTATACGTTAAAAATTCTTTCTAAAAAGAGACCACATCTCATTCCCACTGTTTTATTACGAGAGGGATATATCTGGAGCTCATGGTAGGCAAAATTTCCTTTAGCTCCAGTGGGATGAGTCTTTGGCCTACAACGTACAACTGCAGTTTTAAAAAAATACAAGAGAAACATCAAACAAAGTACCTTTGCAGCTCTGGCAAGCTGCAAAGTTTGCAAAACTTGCAAAGCAGGTTTTTCATCCAGCTCTGCAATGTGGTTAAAGTGATGTGAAAGAAACACGGGAATAAATGGAAAGAATCTATTATAACATGAATGCTAATTAAAAAAAAGGAATAACTACACTCAAACCTGACTTCATCAATTGCCCTTTTACATCACTGACTATTTTTATCTCCAGTATATTCAATTTGGAATTGCAGTACCTAATTCACAATGAGCAAATAGTTAGCTGAAAAAGCTGAGTTAAATCCTTTCAAAAAGACTACAGTGATATAATGACATGATGAATCATTTAGTAAACACACTCATCCTTTGAGGCAAAATCTATTCTATCACCTGTGAATGAAAATCTTTCCTTTTCTAATGTGTTAGTATGTTGGAAACTTGGGAGTTTGTTGGGCTTATTCCAGATTTAAAAAGAAATCAGAGTTCCCAAACAGTATTACACGAATTAAAATAACCCCGATCCGTTTGTAGGCTTTCCTAAGAAATGGGCAGGAATATACCATTATGGCTTCAAGTTCATACAGTACTGCACACAAATGTTGCAGTACACCCAGGTTTGCATTTGGTATCTGAAGAGGGCAACTGATTTCCAAGGAAAGCAGAACATAACCTGTCAGGTGGGTGTGACAGTACCTCCAGCTCTTTGATCTGCTCCAGCAAAGACTGCAGTGACATGCTCTTATCACAGATGAACTTCTTTCGGATGGAGTCTTGTAAGTTTTTCAGGTAGCACTCTGTGGCTTGGGCCTCTTCAAAGAACTACAGGAGAAAAGTTGTGATTTCATTTCTACACAGTTCTTAAAAATGTCTGGTAAACATCAGTGGATTCCTTTCATGAGAAATCCCAGTTCACATCTGGAAGAACAGTAGCATTTACAATATGGTAACAGCATGTTATGCATAATTGTGCACGGATTTAGAAAGACTTTGGTACAGAAAACAGTATCTGTGATGGGATTCATACTTTTAACAAAAGCAGTGTGAATTCTCCACATCACTACTTACCTGAAAGTAAGCCGCATTCTCTTTCAGATGAACATCAATGCATTTGGTGATCTGAAGAATCCAGCTCCACTGAGTTTGTAATGTGTCCATGTAGGCCTAACGAAAATAGTAATATACAGAACTCAAACCACCACACTGATCTCCCTCTCCCATACCTAGACTCAAGCAAAACTATTTATGCTCCACATAAATGCAAATGAAAAATCTGCTAAAAGAAATTCATGCACACCAGAATAATGTAACTCATGCAAATAGTTCCCCAACTTCTAAGCAACTGCCTAACTGAAATGAGTTAAATACCTGCTTGTGGGATGAAGAAATTTGTTCATGACTTGAATTTTGTTTCATCAGCATAAAGCCTGAAGTGCATGAACAAAAAGGGGTGAAATGCACAAACAGTAGTGCAAATAAAATATTTCAGTTGCAAACTGTCATGTTCTCCTTCCAAGGAAGACTGTCAAACATGATTTTTTTTTTTTTATGATGGCTATTTTTAAATTCAAACTTCTGAAGTAGTCCTCACGTATATTCTTTAGAAAATTAGACACAACTTTTACTTCACTAATGGAGCTTACAAGGATCTTTCCTTTAAGGCAGAAACTGACCACAGGAGAAATATGAATAGTGATTTTACACAACATGATAACAGTTGACAGAGTAAATATACTGAAAAGCAGAATGGACTCATTTTTTTTCCCCCTATTAGCTTCTTTCAGTTTCACAGTTCTTATGCACTCTTAAAACTGTAACAACTATAGCATTTCCTAATAAAATGAGAATTTCCAAATTGTTGCAGCCTTTATAACTTAAAGGTAAACGTACACCAACCTGTGAAAGTAAAAATGTCTTGGCTAAGCTGTAGAAATGCACTATGAGTTTCACTTGCAGAAAGTATTTGCACCTGGATTAAATATAAACTCTCAACAAAGGGTGTGGCTTTCTTCAAAATATGCCTACTAAGATAGCAGAAGAACAACGACGTGCCTTCCTTCCATAAATTCCACTGCACTGTAGTCAATTCAAACGAGACACAGCAATTTCAATGCAGACAACTCCCTAAGCCTCATATTAATTTTCCATGTATCTATCATCAAATTTGATATCAGTGAGAGCTCTGCCCATAGCTCTTAAGAAGCCTGGAGTTGTTATGGCCAGGTCCGTACAGGAAGGTAGTATTAGAGCAGCTGGATAAAAATGGACATGCTTTTTGGCAGGCAAACCCTTCTCAGGTCCAAATGCAGCATTTCATTTGCAGACTTTCCCTGAGAACTTTTCCCATGTAGCAACTAAAGGAGCAAGTGAAATCACAAAAAGTCTAACTCACCTCGATTTTGTCTGAAGCAGGGTGCTGGTTGAGCACTAGCTGGTCACTTTCTTGCTTTAGCTTGTTGAGTTCCTTTTCTTTAAGCTCCAGTTCGCTCATGCGTTTCTAAAGAACCAAAACAGCATTAAACAAGCCCCTAAACGTACACTGCACAGGATGATTTACCTAAAATTTTCCAGACAGTTGCGATAATGTAAAATTATCCCTGCTAACACTACTTAGTAATTCTATTCAGCGTACTGAAGATAATCATGAAACAGTAGAATCAAAGAAGGTAGAATCATCTCAGTTCTAGTCTCTAGGCTTGCCACTTCACAAAGCAAAGCACTCAAATTCTGCCTTTCCTAGGAATGATGGAAGCAAAAACGGTTGCATCTTGCAACAGCCAGAACAACTGAACTGGAAAAAAAAAAACAAGTACCTCCATAATAGCATGAACTTTCATTCCTTTTTCAATTTGGTCATCAGTACCAATGCTGGTTGCAGAAATGCACATGCTCAATTTCCCCACGTCCCCACAGAAGACAAGGAGCAGTGCAAACTACCTCTGACCGTGCGCTCAGCGTGCCGCTGGCAAATCCGTCCGAGGAAGAGAGCAGTCTGCTCTCGTATAGCTCTACTTCCCGGTGACAGACAAGCAGGGCTACATACGGGGACTCCCTGACCCCTACATAGTCCTAACAGGGAGAATTCAACTGCTGGATTCGAGTCCGTTAGTTCAGCACGCCAAAATAACGACTGTGTGCACAAGCTGTGTGTGATTACTAGTTAGTACACCGTGGGCTGTACTCATAAGGCCAGCTTCTAGGGTCAAAAGAAACCATGACAACTGGTTGAACGGGAGCATGATCTTCCAACAGATGTCCAAAAACCCCAGGAACTTCGAAAGAGTGAAGAAACACACGTCCTGTGATCAGTCCCCCTGAGCCAGGCTGTTTCTCCCTCACTATCCCAAAAGAGAGCCCATGGAAAGCATGGGAAGGTTGAGTTGTCTTACAGAGAAGGCCTCCTGCTTCCTGGCAATGTCAGTATTCCTGTCACTCCAGTCATAGAGAAGCTCCTCTTCCTCACAGTCATTGATCCACATGATCTCTCTGCTGGTGGCTTGGATGAGGTTCTGGAATTGACGGAGCTGATCCATTCTCTCAAAGGAGTATTTCTGCAAGGAATTCCAGAAATGAGAAGCCATAAACACAGAGAGCCTGTGCAGGCTGGAGAAGGGAAAGCCAAGAGCACAGCATGTCTTTTTTAAAAAAAAAAATCCAACTAAAATAACAGTAAAACCCACAAACATATAAAACCTGTTGGCAATGAAGAGCATAATATTCTTACTGCATTTTACATGAAGATCCAAAGCGGGGAAGATGCACAGCCCTACACAGAATTTGGTTCTAATCCTACCTTTGAATAGCTTTTTAAGCTTCATAGATAAAAATTCATCGTTATATTTACTCCCATTAAGGAGGTGGAGCTCTACTATTCACCTGCTTAGTGACCAACTCCCTTCACCAGCTGCAAACATGAAACTTCCTTGTGAGGGTAAGTCAGTCATATACCATGCAATGAATTAATCTCAAGTTCATGGCTCAAACTGAACCCTATAGAAGCTACGAAGCACTGTCAGTTTACTGATGAATAGAATTATTTAAATATGCATCTGTCACTCTGTTGAAACCTGAAGTGTCTCTTGACTATCACACCGGTGTTAAAGCAAAAAGAGCACTCATCAGAGAGGGTATCAGAAATAAACATATCTCTTGCTCACCAGCAGTCCTTCATATTCTTCCTCCAGCTGATGAACCGCAGCCTTCTCCCGCTGAAACAGAGAGAGCAAATACTCAGTGAGCCTTTTACAAGTTGCATATTTGCTGGCATTTCCTTTACAGTGTCAGTATCGTAACCTCGTAACTACAGGTGGTAACCTGCAAACGCCTGCAAGAGACATAGGTGAGCAGCAGGTATCTGCATCACTGGAGGACCACAAGTAGTACAAAACCAAAGCTTGAACAAACTGATTCGCTCAGGGATGCTTAGTACATAAGCAAGGTTGCACATAACTCCTGTAATAATAAAACAGCTCCTGAAATTGGATCTCTTTTTGTACCAAACTCCTAGACAGCTGTGTGGAACCAGCTAGTCCTAGAGCTAGCTTTGGAGATCGTGAAGTAGTATAAACTACAATGTGAGCAGGAGGCTCCAAGTTTTATTCTCATTTCTATGACTCAGAACCTGCACAATCTTGGAACTGGTATTCCATAGGGCCAGACTATCACCTTTCTTATTTGAAGCAGAAGAGAAAAGGGAGTAACACCCTTTCCACTCTTCAGGTCAGCTGAGAGATCAGAGCTCCAGCACGGAGTGCCTTTTCTTTAGATCCAGCTCTCTCCTCCTGTCCATGTGAGTAATTGACAGAAAAGAAGAATAGGAACAAAATAAGCCTCCTCTCTGCTATACCCAGCTGCTGGGCTGATAGGAGAGGAAGTTAACCACTGCATTTTCAGTGACTTCTTTATTCCAATCACCAAATCCAGAGGGGAACAGAAGTCTCAGAGGGGCAAAAAAAGAAAAAGAAAATCCACACCTAGGAAAAGGTCAAAGCTTACGCCAGAATTTGGACATTTTTCACAGAAACTCCCTTACTCAAGGCTATATCTAAGCATCCACCCCATCCTTTCACTTTCTTGTTTTAACATACCTAGGTAGAAGGTGAGAATAGGCATTCTTAGCCATTCTTCTCACAAAAAATGTTGCAATATTTATTTGCCAGCCTTAGTACACAACACCAAAATGTTTAATAGCTGCTAAATTTTCATCTTAAAATGCCAGGGAAAGAAGTGGAACACAAAATAATCATGAAATAATAAATACTAGGGTTGAAAGTGGTTGCTGTCATGACACCAGTGCTTTCTGAAGAGAAGCTGAACTATTCAACTTTCCTTTTTGTAGTGAAACACCGGCAAGTCAATGATATAAATCTAGACTAAGCAATGTGTAAGGGAAGACAGCAATTACCAGATCTGTTTTGACTTTGTCCAGGTGCCAGCGATAGTCTCCAATGGCATTGTGAGTTCTCCTGTGATCACCAATTTGTTGCTCAATAGATGCTGCATCAAAACCCCATTTCACTAGCTCCATTTCAGCCTAGGAGAAAGGGACAGTATTTGTACTTTCATTTCCAACATTATTATCTACATTGGAGCATGACGGAATTGAATTGATGGAAACATGACTATGCAGTACAAAAAAGCGAATTTCAGGTTTTCAGCTTAAAATTGTCATCACTTAAACTGTGTGACAGGCTCCCAAAGTAGAAGAAACAAAGTAGAGAAAATATTTAAGTTGCTTAAAATTAGACCAGATGAAGCACATTCAGTATTGTGTTTTCATCTGTTTTCTTTGGATCAAACTGTTCTTTTATGTTCTACAGTATAGTTACATTCTTATCACTCTGAAAACAAATTGTGACTTTATCAAACAATGCAATTCATGCAATTCATGTGACAATATCCAAAGTCAAGTTTTGTAGCCCAGTACACTACATTTCCATTTTAACTATGCTCCTGTAAACTCCAGTAACTTCAGTTAAATGCAGCCAAACTAAACGAAAAAACAGAAGACAAACTGAAATTATTACAGAACATGTTGTTTGTCTTGCATTTTGGCAACATTTATTGTAGGATACCGAGTGAAAATCTGTAGGACCAGCCTTTGAAAAACAGTAACACACCTGGACAATTAATAACTCAAAAACTATCTGACTGCAGTTTGTTTCACTATTTTCAAATATTAAAAGCCACTGAATTCACAATTCAACTCCTCAAACTCCAGATCATTTTTTATGCTGTAAAGACACACTCCGTCTCTGTCTGAATGTCTGTCTGCGCACACGCACAGCAAAGAACTAGGTATCTTAATCTTGGGTTGAGACTGAATTTGGTATTTACCAGCCTGGAGCCAAATCTCTATGAGTCAACAGATGACAACAACGCCTGAACCAAACTCAAGCGTAGGGGTTCAAAGGCAGGGGTTGAAAATGAACCAAGAAACGAAACCATTTTACATCCAGCCATCTAAAAGTTACAGGACTTTGACCCTTCTCGTTATATTTAAACAGTCCAAAGAGTCTGTAGCAACAGTGGCAGTCTTGGCTGGCTGCCAGGGTGTGAACAAAGGCTGTCTGAATTTCACTGTGCTTTCCCTAATTCCGTACTGGAAACTTGACCGACTCTCCTACCACCCAATTCTGCTGTCAGCAAACCATCGAGACAGAAAACAGAAAAACACCGGCAGAAAACCACAGCTGCTCAAACCTTTTTTCCCCACATCTCACCGTGTTACTAGGGGAAACTTTATCCTAGTCTCAACGTGAGCGGGCAAGGGGATAGAGCAAGGCATGATGTAAAAAAGAGGCATGGTGGAAAGTTAAAAATAAATTTTCCATAAAAAAAACCTCAAAAGTCCAATGGGGAGCTGAGTGCTTACTGGCCCCACCTCAGCTCTGCCTTAGGGACTGAACAAGGGA